CAGGCGGTCGCAGCCGCGGCCGCTGCGGGCTTCGGCAGGCCACCGGTCGTATCGCCGTGGACGTCGCCCGTGGTCGCCTCGCACTTCCCCTACTTCGCTGCCGCGGTCGCGGCCGCCGCCACTAGTCAGCAGCAACTGTCGCCGAAGAGCACCACCGGCGTGGTGGACCATCATCAGCTGTGGAACGGCAAGATCAAGCCGCCGTCCGCGTTGGAGAACAAGTATCAGCCCAGCGAGGCGACCAAAGCGCTCGAGAAGATGAGCGAGCTGAGCAAACTGGGCGGCGAGGATCTGTTCAGATCGTCGTCCGGCACCGGTGCCGGTGGAGCGGTCGGGGCCGGCGGCGTGGGCGGCGGCGTCGGATCCGGCGGCGGTGCCGGCGCGGCCGGTCCTGGAGGCGGTATCGGGGCCGGAAACTCGTCCGGCTCGACGTCCGGAAGCCGCCACAGCGCCTGGCAGTCCCACTGGCTGAACAAGGGGGCGGACCAGGCGAAAGACGTGCTCAAGTGCGTCTGGTGCAAGCAGAGCTTCCCCACGCTGGCCGCGATGACCACCCATATGAAGGAGGCGAAACACTGCGGCGTGAACATGCCCGTGCCGCCGACCGGTTCCGCGCTTCACCCGCAGCAGAGCAACGTGCCCAACATCCCGACGCCTCAGCCGCCTCACCAGCCGCAGACCACGTCGTCGAGCAACGCGGGCGCGGGCCCCGGTGGCGGTGGGTCCGCGACTCCCAGCAGCAAGCAGAGCCCGTCGGAATTGAACCTGTTGATCAAGGAGACGATGCCGTTGCCGAGGAAACTGGTTCGCGGGCAGGACGTCTGGCTCGGCAAGGGAGCCGAGCAGACTAGACAAATTCTCAAGTGCATGTGGTGCGGCCAGAGCTTCCGCTCCCTCGCCGAGATGACCTCGCACATGCAGCAGACGCAGCACTACACGAACATCATCTCTCAGGAGCAGATCATCTCGTGGAAGTCCTCGGACGAGAACAAGGGGAGCAGCGGGGGCAGCGGTGGCAGCGGGAGCGGATCCGCGAGCGGAGCCGGTGGCGGCGGTGGCGGCGGCGGAGCTGGCGGCGGTGGCACCGCGGTGCCCGGCGGGAACGCCGGCGCCACCGGACCGCACGCCGGGAACACAGGCCCTCCGGGTTCCGGTGCCACCAGCAGCCACGTGAGCGCGGTGCTCACCTGCAAAGTTTGCGATCAAGCGTTCAGCTCGTTGAAGGAGCTGAGCAATCACATGGTGAAGAACTCCCATTACAAGGAACACATTATGCGCTCGATCACCGAGAGCGGCGGCCGACGCCGGCAAACGAGGGAGAAGCGGAAGAAGTCGTTGCCCGTGCGGAAGCTGTTGGAGCTGGAGCGGGCGCAGAACGAGTTCAAGAACGGCGACGCCGCCGCGGCGCTCAGCCACGGTCTCGGGAAACACGCGGGTAGAATAACCTGCGAGAAGTGCGGGGACAAGATCGACACGTCCATCTTCGTCGATCACATTCGGCAGTGCATCGGCGCCGGGACGGTGAGCGCGAATCAGCGAAACTTCTTGAAGAACGCGTTGATGTCGAACCATTTACCGGCGACGCTCCCGCCGAGCGAGAGCGGACGGAAGAGCGCGAACGAGGACAGCTCGCCGGTGTCCACGAGGCATCACCGGTCTCCCTCGTCGGCCAGCGACGCGACCACCCCCGGCAAAGACACGCCGACGCCGACCGGCAACGAGACCACCGGCGCTTCCTCTTCCCCCTCGGTCTTGAACGCCATCGAGAAGCTGATCGAGAAGAGCTTCGACTCCCGCGCGAGGCACGGCGCGCCCGGACTGCATCACGCCCAACCCGGAGCTCCGATGGGCACCAGCATTCTCAAGCGACTCGGCATCGACGAGAGCGTCGACTACACGAAACCGCTGGTCGACCCGCAAACCATGAATCTGCTGCGATCGTATCAGCAACAGCAACAGCAGCAGCAGCAGCAGCAGCAGCAGCAACAACAACAACAGCAACACTATTCCACGAGTATGGCGGCGCGAAGGGAACGCAGCGGAAGCGAGTCCAGCTCCGTGTCGGAGCGCGGCAGCGGCGGAAGGACCGACACGATGACTCCCGAGAGGCGGCTAGACTTGTCTTCCGTCGGACACTCGGAAAGGCATTCCCATCATCGCCGCGTCACGCCCGACAAGCAATTGGTCCCGCAAAGTTTAGCCTCGGTGCGCCACCATCCAGCCACGGAGGAGTCCGGGGACGAGGAGTCGTCGGCAGCCGCGGCGGCGGTGTCGGCAGCGGCCGGGTCAGGATCGGGCTCGGGGACGAGCGGTTCGACGACGACAACGACGCCGTCCGCCGCGACGACCACCGCGTCCACGGTGGTCGTGAAGAAAGAACCGAAAGACGAGGAGACCGAGGATCGGCCGACCGGCGAGGAGGAGCAGTCGCAGGCACAGAGCAGTCGAGAGGTGTACGTGAAGAAGGAGATCGTTGATGACTGCAGGGACGAAGAGGAGCAAGGCTCGTTCAATCATCGGCGG